GGCGGGCAGAAGCAGCCGTAAAGATCTGTTTCCCAGAGGGGGGTTGATTTGCTGGGCTCGGATTCCTTGGGCCGAGAATGTTTTGATAATATTGGGAACCGTGGAAGGGGCATTTTTAGATTTGGGTTTTATGAGTGTCTTAATTTTTAGTTCGACTCCGGGGCTCTCTGCCCCGCCACCAAACCCAACAACATTGCTCGGATCATCAGAGCTGTGCCAGCACTCCTGCGGAGTCATATTCTCCACATGAGTGTACTATAGTGCGGTCAAAAATTCGTGGTGTAACTTATAGTCAAATATCTCCTCTGCCATCGACCAAAGGTTCCCCAATTTTTTTAACAATGACTTGTATCAATTTGTTTTAACAGATCAACATTTTTGTAAACACGTGCTAGCTGTTTTCTGGAAAATTCCTAAATAAATACTAATTTAAAAAATCAAGTGGGTGGTTTCTACTGATTTGTAAATGTTTACAGCTGGGGCAATATAATTGCTTTCAATAGCAAGTCAGTCAGGTTTTTCTTGTCGGGACATTGTGCTTATTGAACGCATGTTTTGAGAATCATTAGTGCAAAAAAATGTGTTCACTATAAAAATAATTTCTTGTAACAGGTTTTGCAACTAAAAATTGTAATTGATGAGTTTTGACGTAGGCCATATGCGTAACCAAAATGTGTGTGGCACTGAGAAGCGGGAAGGCCTGTGAACAATTCCACTTTACGTGTGACAGAGATTTCAAGTATTTTATATAAATTTATGAAGAAAAGTTTTTTTTAATCTTGCCCCAATTGTTGTGGAAGAATATGATTTAGTTAGGACAAATTGATACACACTGCGGTGCAAAGTACGGATGCCATTGATTCACCGGATAAAGAGATATTTTGGGGATAAATTACCCCACGAATTTCTGACCCATGGATAGAATGATGGAGTTTCAGCTCCAACCGATTGAGTGGCATGGGTTGTGCTACCCTGCCGTCTAAGTGGAAAATGTGGGCCAAAGAGTTGTATTGTCGAGGGAAATTCCGCTGAGTGACCTCACCTTAACCACCAGGCAGAGGTAAGACTTCAAACAGAATAGACATTTGGGATTTATAAAGTTTTACAGCTGGGTTTGACTGTAGTAATGCCATGTTTAGCTTCATATTCTTGTTCTTGCTCATGTGTGTTCTTTTCAATCTGATTCTGAATTTTCCCACCACTGGTACATGGTCACTGTAACAGTCTGCTCCTGGGCGCCTTTTGACATTTAGCATCCCGTTTTTGTATCTTTTATTGATCATGATATAGTTGTTCTGGTTGCGAGCGCTGTCTCCGGAACTCTTCCAGGTCCATAATCTTCTTGTTTGTTGTTCATACCAAGTGTTTCTATTAATAATGTCATTCAGGATAGCCCATTCTGTCAGTTTTTCTCCACTTAAAATTCGTTACTGATTTCCAGTCCATATGCGCCCACTAGGTCTTCGTGTCTAGTTGTTCCTGCTTTTGCATTAAAATCTCCCATGCTTATGACAATATCCTGTGATTTGCAATGTGTCTTTGCTTGGTTCATTTCCTCTTAAAACTTCTCTATTTCTTCTTCTGTGCATTCTGAGGTTGGTGCTTACGCTTCGATGATGGTTGTATCGAAGGATGATCCTTTCAGTCTCACCACCATAACTCTGTCTGATATTGTCAGGTACCCATTAAGAGTCTTCGACGTTGGCTTGTCCCTGACGACCGCTACTCCTCTTTCGTGTTTGTCGTCTACTGAGTAAATGATTTTATACCTGTCTGACAATATGCTTGCCAGCTCTTGTCCATCGTACTTCACATAAACCCATGATGTTAACATTCATTCTCTTCATTTCTTTTTGATGTTGTCCAATTTTCCTTTCTCTAGCAATGTTATCGCATTCCAGGTTTCTATAATTCTCATTTGAGTTTTCCTTTTGTGAGCAGTATCTTGTTGACGGTCTAGTGCCACCTGCTGTGCATGACTGACACTACCTGACGAGACAGTTCTTACATAGCTCACCTTTGCGTCGTTATCTTCATTCATTGTGTGTTGATCCATGACGCTCTTGGGAAAATAACAGCAGTGGTTTCCCTTTGCTTTCTGTTAGATTTTTGTACTGCTTACTCCCCCAGCCTTTTTTCGAAAAGGACTAACCCACTAGGCAGTAGGGGGCAGGTGCCAGGTTTCGGCGCCTCCCTCTCGCCTGACAGTCCCTTTACTGAGCACAAGAGGCATTTTATAGAGGCAGGATTGCCAACGCCCTGTCCCACCTCGCTCTCCAAGACTGTCGCCAGTTGGTCCGCGACTGCTTATTGGTTATTCTCAGCTACCCTACTTAATGTAGGCCGTTCCACTATCCGCCACCTGGGGATCCGGTGGGTCGAGGATGGTCGACCCAGCTTTACCCACTTGGGGATTGCCTTGTCAATGAAACAACTTCTGGAGCCTTCAGCATATAGTGTTAGGGTGGCCAGTTCCTTTCCACGCCACCTTCACTTCCCCAACTCGAAATCAGAGCTGCTGGGTGGGCTGGAGGGGGCCAAAAAAATCCGTGTCCAAACTTTGGAGACAAGCGCACTAACCTCTCCGCCACCGCACTCTTGGTTGAAGCAAATTGCAGACGACAGCTTTTGACGAATATACGAAAGCGACAGGCAAATTGCATTGGACATACAATGCGGAAAGAAGCATTGGAGAATATTGTAACAACGGGCAAGTTTGATGGGAAGAGAGGCAGAGGCAGGCAGAGGGAAAAGATACTGGACAAGATGACAATATGGCTAGGAGCAGCAAGAACAACAGACACCATCGCTACAACGTAATACAGAATGAAGTGGAGGCCCATGATCGCCCACGCCAGTCGGCAAGGCACCGGAAGATGACGACAGCTGGGTTATAAAATTATTTTGTGTGCCCGTTTCCTAAACTTGAAAAACGTACATAATAATTGTTTGAACAAGCTCTCCTACCCCCCCCCCCTTCCTTAACTTGGGACATTTCCCAAATTAAAGCTAAAAACACAGCATACTGCATAGCAAAGCATTCTCACAAATCAAGTGTGTTTGGTTGAAGTAAACATATGAACTTATGCAGTTGCGAGCGCCGTAAACACTTATCTTTGTAAAAATTCATCGTTCAACTTGTTTTCGGTGTTGTTAGTAACCGTAATCGTTCTTTTGTCTGATTACTACCAGGCGAAATAAATGTACCCGTTCAAACGGTCCAAACGGGATCAGTCTAGTTTTACGTAAACTGTTCAAAAAGGGGCCAGTGTAGTATTACGTGAACTGGTCCAAAAGGAACTCACCCATAGCAGCAGACTACTACACTCGTCCCGTTATACCTACTAAATAAAAATGTAACAGTATCCCGTTG